TGTGTTCCCCCCACCCTGGGGTTACCTCGGAGCCATTTCAGGAGGAAATAGTCATCCTGGGAGGGCAGGGAGGGCAGCACGTCCTGCAGGTTCTCCCGAAACTGCAGGGAGAAGAGGCATCGTTGGCGGAGGGGTCTCCATTCCCACCCCAAAAGCACCAAGGCTGGAGGTCTGTCCCCTCCCTGTCCCCCCCCAAAAAAAGTCCCAGACAGGATTGGGAACTGTCCCAGGAGAGAAGGGACACCCCACGCTCCATCCCTGCTGCCACATGCAGCCGTCATGAGTGGCCGGTCTCTGCTCTCCTCCCTGGCAGGGGACCGTCCTCAGGCCGGCCACCAAGCACCGGGTGTCCCCAAGCCAGTCCCCTTGCGCAAGGGTGTGAGTGGGGGCTGCCACCCAAGCACCGGGTGTCCCAAAGCCAGTCCCCTTGCGCAAGGGTGTGAGTGGGGGCTGCCACCCACCCGGCTCCCCCCAGGGAGGGTCCCGCCGGCCACCCTCGCCCCGCAGGGACCAGGTGGACTGGTCCCCTCCTCTGCCATCACCGGCAGCATCCTTTGGGATGGAGCCGGTCACCGGACAGTCACCGCGTGTCCCTCTGCTCCACTGACATCCCAGCGAGTCACAGCCCCCCTGGCCAGCCTGGAGCGGGTAGGAGGGTGGCAGGGTGCAGAACTGGGGGGGTTTGGGGGAGCCAGGGCATCCTCAGCACGCAGCCCCGCTCACCCAGGCCAGGCTACAGCCCAAATCTCCGTACCAGTCCAGGACCTCCCCTTAATGAGGCTGATTAGATTATCTCCTGCTGAGTTTAGGTGTAATTAAACCCGGGATTAGCTTCATCACCCTGAGAAAAACAAGGTGCTGGCGGATGGGTTTCGCAGCTTGCCTTTCTCACCCACCCATCGCCGCCTTGGCACCGGGAGGGTTTCGGCTCCATGCCCCGTGCCTGCTCCTGCCCTGCCAGCCTCCGGAGCCCGCTGGGGTCATCGCCCGCGGCTGGAGTTTGGTTGGGTTGGAAACGCAGCGATAAGATAAAGCCGGCACTGTTGCCCTCTTGGTGGGGTGGAATAAACCTGGATGAGGCCTGGCGCCCCGGCGAGGTGCCGGTGAAGGCGTCGGAGGTGGCCTTGGGTGGCATGGCCACCACGGTGGGCGACTGCCGCCGGTTCAG